CTTTTTATAGGAATGTCGCAACAGGTTGACTCACGGAAAGACATCCACAGACAAATGATGTTGCTGTGGTGTCCGTTGTAGCATCATCTTGAGTCTAAAAATGTCTCAGCACAGTGGGTCAGTATGAGGTCAGCACAGTGAAATTTTTCACTCTTTTTTTCCCAGTGACCCGTCACTTCCTCTCCTTGTCTCCTGTATCCTTTTGTTTGCTGTCTTAGTGGAATCTGATACTCTGAGAAAAAACACTGCCCAAGCTAAATTTATCCTAGCTTGCTTTTGTGCCGCTCTGTGTAATGCTGGGTATTTTGCTTTCATGCAACCTCTTTATTTTTAACATGCTAAACAGCTTAAGGCATTTGACTCAAATGGTTATTTAGTGTTAAGAGTTATTTGAGAATAAGGAAAAAAACCTCTTATACAATAGCCGCCAATGTCTCATTAAAAAATCTTGGCCCATTTTGAGACGTTGACGGTGTGTGATATGCACAAAATCATTGATTGCTACAAAAATGTTTCTAACCAAACTAGGATGCTCCTGTTGACCATGTACTGTACTGCAGCTGTAGAAGACCCAAACAAGCATCGTCTAGTTGTTTTGAGATCTAGTAACGGACGCAATACTCATTTCTTAGAATCAGTGCTCTGCAGTGGGTTAGGTAAACAAAACAATAATGTCTCTTTTTTTGTCATACCCAATCAACTGTTCATAACTGTAAACTTTAGCTTCAACCATTTAATGGTTACTTTAAGCATTAAGCTCTAAGTGTGAATTTTCACCCATTGTTAGTGGTCATTTGTTCACATTCTCTCTCATGGACAGGGAGAAATGTTATATACTCTCTTCTTATACCCTGTTGGCAGACGTTATTGACTCATCTTTTTACAATGGGTTCTTTCCCTGATTCAACTCTCTCCATTTAATGTGTCTGACATTGAAGTTTAATGCCTGCTTAAGGTCAGGGTTATAAAGAAAAAAATCATATAAAATTGAGGAAACCTCTCATAGCCTTAAAGGAAACCCAGGAGATGTGTGCTGCACATCTGCCAAGTATTTCGTGTTTTCCAAATCTATCTCTTGCGTTTGGACCATTTTAAGACGGAATCTTTAAATTGCATTGAAGTTTTTATTGATAATAAACTTTTAATTCGGATCCCCAGGTTCCCAAACCATTCAGGTAACATATGGATTCAGTAGAAAAGTGTTATCTGCAGCCTGTGTTTGATCTCAGTGTGTTCTCTCTCTGCTGTTTATCCGTAGCTGT